TTCAATGCCAGATCTGGGCATTAGTATTAGCTACAAAATGAACAATTTACAAATTTGTTAAGTTTTTGAAATTACAATTAGTTTTATTCAAATTGTCATATTCGTTTTCTATATCTCCATAAAAAGCTTTATCTCATTTGAATAACATTACTCCCATAGACTTAGCATTGCCCATGCTAAACCTATGTCACAGACTTGACATTAGTCCCATAGGATACAGTAACATAAGCCCCATGTAACATGGGCCATGTTAAAGTATAGACATAGACTTAAGCTGTAATCCCATGTTAAATCCCATATAGCGGGGGTGGGGGAAGGGTGGCCAAACGATCCTATAAACCACATTATTCTATGCAGAATTGTGGTTAAAAACTTTTGGCGTTGGCTCTAGGGTTAATTCTAGATTAACTTGTCAATTAGTGATTGTAAATTTAGCATCGGTATCGCAAAACAATACCGCCGATACCAAAAAGTTGTTTTTCAGTCACTATTGTGCTAACAATTATAATAAACAAATGATGAAATCATTATAAATTAAATATATTTCCCAATTTAGGGTCCGTTTCCTATTTTGAGTCTTCAGTGGTCTATTGACAGTCAGTTTGTTCTAACGTCAGTTAACGAAAGTAAGATGATCATGATCACTATTTGCATTTTTATCTCATAAAAATTTATTTAAATCTAATATATTTAACAGATAACTATCAAGAGCTTCTATTATGTAAGTATAAAATATTTTAAAAAGATAACAATTTATTAAATGAAGTATAATTTTTAGGGGATTTACCAAATTGTCGATATATGAAAGGAGTGTCAGATTTTTCGAATAAAATTATTTGGTTTGACTCGACATGTAGTGGGGGTGAAGATGTGCGAGGTGATTTATCCCTGGTTAATAATTAAATTGTTTTAACCATTATTAAATAAATATTCTACTCGTTAGGGATTTGGGACAACCGATATCTACAGGATGTGGTGAACCTGAGCTGTCACTGCTCTCCGAGTACTAAATATTTGGTGAGTGGCGACGAAGAGGGAGTTTTGAGACTGTTTTCTTATCCTTGTTCCGACTCTATGGTAATTATTAGCATTCGTAACAATTAATGGCCATTTCATTAATGAGTATTCAATCATTTCAATTATAGGCGGCGTTCTTCGAGTATAGACAGGGAGGCGGAAGTGTCACCGAAGTTAGGTTTTCCTTCAATGAGGGCCTAATTATTTCAGGCAATTATAGCGGAGCTCTATTTATTTGGACATTAGTCCCATTCGAGAACACAAGTCAACAAAATGTCTAAATTTTAAAAATAATTTGTTATCAAGGTGCTTTAGTGAAAACTTTAGTATTGTTAATTATACGAAAGTTTGAAAGTTTGATTATCTTATGACAACACATAACAATTAAATTATTAACATTATAAAATCTTATACTCGTATTAATAATTATCTCATCAATGGATAGTGTTTTGATTTTTAGAAATTGAGACAAATTAATGAGTGTAAAGTTTTGCTTAATTATCAATAATCAGTCATTTTTATAACAAAACAAATGAATAGCCAAATGGAAAGATATTATATAACATATGTAACATATTCAGATTACATTTAAATGACATTTCATATTCCCTTTCGCTGCCAATCATTTCATAACAATTGATATAATTAAAGAATTGATCACAATTTATAAAGTATTATAGAATTGAACTTACATGATGTTAGAATCGAGTCCTTCTATGTATTTGTTATATTAAAAACTCAAATATTTGCCAAAATTTATAAATCATTATTAGCTGCAGAATAACACTAACTGTTTACTTATACAGTATTTGTTTTATAATAATTATGATATAAATTTTATAGAATATTCATAATTAAAGTATACCAAATTAAGACTGAATTGAAAATAATACATTTTTAATATTTAATTTAAATAGATTTAGATTTCAAAAAAAATTGTATTACTATTTGTTAAAATTGAGGAAAGAAATCATTAATTGAAAAATCTTTTACATATTTACCACATTTAATATCAATTTGTTGTCACAATCGTTGGCATTATATTTATTATTTTAAAATCCATTTATCGGTGTCTTAAGAATTTGATTTTGTTTTGTAATTTGTGAATATTATAATTATTTAAATGAATTATATGTAAACCACTTGTTAATTCATACATTACAGTATTAATAACTTAATAACGGTTTCCAATACAAATTAACAATTTAATTACTAGTTACAAATATAGGCAACAAGAGCTTAATTTGGTCTGATTTTAAAAGTTTGTTGAATTTTTATTTATCATATTTTATAATAATAATAATTTAAACTTTTAGTACGTTTAATATTAGTAGACTTAATTGCATTGATTTTATCGTTCAGTATATAATAATATAATTTATAATATAAATTAATTATATAATACAATACATTAACAGTAAATACCACATCAAACAAAACAAATATTAGCGTTTCGTACAAATATTTAAAGTGTTTGAAAAGTTTTAAAATTGTTAGCAATTATTTAATATGTATTCAAATTATGTGTTTTCCTAAAAATATAGAATTTTATAATTTTATAAATATTAAAACTCTTTGTAATTTGGAAATAAAACTTATTTTTAAAAAGTATTTATATCTTATTTAAATCATATTTAACTTTAATATTCCAATCATTGAAGTTATAACCAAATTGTTTCCATAGAATTATCATAAAATTTTATTGAAATTATAATCTAAATCTAAATTTTAATGTACTTTACATCTCTACTAACTATGTTAGAATGATGCAAAAAGTTTTGGCATAGGTCATATTGGTTTGTAATGATTTACATTGTAATGTTACGATAGTTTTATTATATGTCAGGTAAATACTCATTACTTGATGCAAACTTTTATCCTAATAATTGTCTATTTAATAGCAAACAATTAACTTTCATCAACTATTTATAACGAGTGATTAATTTGAATAGCTTTCAAGCCATAAGCAATTAGTTTATAAATGTGTTTAATATGAATCAAATACAATGTACTGTAATGTTAATGAACGTGTACTGTATTGCCATAGACAGAAACACACACACAGACTGACTGTACAGACTGTACGGCAGACTCTATTATAGGCGAGAGAGAGGGAGAGAGAGGGAGAGAGAGGGAGAGAGAGATTGCGAGGGGAGAGTGTGTGTGAGTGAGTGCTGAGCGGTGTGTAGTGTATAGACGAGAGTAGTGTTTGAATAAGTGATAGGAGTGTTGCCATTGGAGAGGCAATGGACTGATCGATGGGTTGTGTGGAGTGAAGGCTAAGGTGTTGTCCTCAACACAACACTACTCAACACAAACACAACACTAATTGCGATAATTGTTGTGTCGATTGTGAAGTAATTATAGTAAGTGTTGACAAATGCTGCCAATAATGACCGCTATTTAACACCAATTTACTCATAACTGGCATTCATTCAACACTATTCACACCAATTGAACACATTGTGAGCAATACATGACTACATGAGTGCATCCATCGCTTAATTGCAATCAAATCGCTATTAAGTGTGACATTTGAGGCCAATATTGCCATTCATTGGTCAGTATTTGATTGTTTTGTTTTCAATGCATTTCTCCAGATATTTGTTATTATGATTAGTGATAATCAATTCAATCCATTGTTATCTGTATTTAACATTTCAAATGCTATACAAAATGGGTTTCAATTATTTATTTACATTTGATTTATTGCCCTTTCATTCACTCCTTTCCACAATACAGTCAAAGCACTATTGATTGCGTTTATGTTGTGTTGATTTGCAAATCAACACAACAATTAACACTTAAATTAATCACTTAAACATTGTTTCAATTAAATGTAGTCTTATTTTATATATAATTTTAATTGTCATTTGAAATGCATTTTCAATATTTATAATTGAAGTGTAATTATAAGTATAAACAATGCATGCATTGACTAATTAATAAATTGTATGCTATATTGAAATGAATGATTGAATATTAGCTAACAATTGAAACTATTATTGATGTCATAATTATTACAATTAGTAATGGATTTGTGAATAACTTTTAGATCAAGATTTGAATATTTGATGAGAAGATAACTTTATGTAAACTTTTCTGGTATTACTTAAAAGGTAATGATTATAATGTGATGAGAATAGTGTTGATTAATAATGTAATGAATGTATGAATTGGTTAGCGCTGGCGAGTACTCAGGGAGAGATCCGGGTGGGGCCCAGCCATCAGGCGAGGCTTCCCGACTGTCAACTCGATGTGATGCCCAAAGAAATGCCTGAGAAGTGTGAGACCCTGGAGGAGCTGCGATGGGCGCCGGGGGTCGCCGACTGTGATCTGATGATGTACTTGAGAGCCGCCAGAAGTATGGCTGCCTTCGCCGGCATGTGTGACGGCGGCTCTGCCGAAGACGGATGTCTGGCCGCCTCTAAGGACGACACCACTATTAATGCACTCGAATTGGTATTTAGTGTTAATCATAATCTTTTTGAATTGAATTCATTTTGACAATTATTTTTAAAGCTTCACGAAAGCAATTACGACACCGGAAGAGCACTGCAGGCTTTGGTCAAGAATCCAATTCCCAAACCTATTGATAAAAAGTGGTCGGAAGAGGAACAGGTAATTTGGTTTACCTTCTTATTTGGCTATTAATATATAACTTGATGTTTATATGTTTGTAGAAACGTTTTGTCAAAGGGTTGAGACAATACGGGAAAAACTTTTTTAAAATTCGAAGAGAACTTATTCCGCATAAAGAAACGGTTTGTTGTATTCATTGATTGAAAAGTTCAATAAAATAACAATTGAGTTGTATTTTAAGGCCGATTTGGTTGAGTTCTACTACCTGTGGAAGAAGACCCCTCAGGCGGCCTCTACTCGACCCCATAGACGGCATCGCAGATGTGTTTTGCGAAGAATACGCTCGTCGTCTACCGCTGGCGTTGGGAATGCAAATAAAACTAACCTCAATGTTCAGCCAAATAATGACTTCTTAGACATGAGTAGTGCGAGTGAAGAAGAAGACTCGGATGACTCCGATTCCAGGGATAATACGGCAAACGTCTGCAGTAATTGTTTGATCACAACATCTAAGGAATGGCACCAAAACAATGGTATTGGAAAAGAAAACTCCATTTTATGCAATGAATGCAAGATATATCACAAAAAATTTGGTGAATTACCAAAACATCAAACACCACCTCAACCGCAACCAAACCCAACGCAGCTTTCAATTCCAGCTCCACTCCCATCGCCGACACAACAATCGGTGCAATTCCTATTCAAACCGGTTAAGTCTGAAGACGACAACAGCTGTCCCATCGCTAATGGAAAGCATAATATGAGAACTCGAAGGAGTAAAGAGAAGGTCTCCAAGGATTTGAATCGAACTAATTCTAAATCATCCGAACCTAACAGTCCTGAGAGACCTGAAAGAGTGGATTCAATAACCAATAAAAGTGATGATAAATCTCCCAATAGTTGTGAAAATAATGAAAATAAGAATACAAACGAATTGTTGGCAAAGAAACGAAACTTTTCAGAAGTGTCTGAATTTGATGAATTGAATACCGATTCGGCAGCGATTAAGCGCAAGAAAGCGGTTACCGATGAGGACAGAAGCACTACTTCCAGTCCATCGTTTCCCATTGAAGTACAACCACTTGTTAATAGTGATGATAATGTGGTCACCACAGCTCCTGAAGAGCCTGTAAATGTAAATTCACCGCATTCTTCCTCATCTCCGCCACAGAACACCTCTTCTAATGAAGAACCAGAAAAGTCTGTGGTAACGACTGAAGCAAATGTGGAGCCAATTGTGACTCAAAATTCAAATGAAGATGTGATACAAAAAGAACCGGAAGACGACAAGACTATAATCACTCCAATCAACGAAAGGGACAAAACTGACGACAAAACACAAAAGAGAAGTCAAAGTCCTTATATTGAGCCCAAATCGCCGCCACAGGAGTTGATTACACCCAAACTGGAGCCGCCGTCGTCTCCCAAATCACCGGTTAATTACCGCAATTCTCCGGCGCTTCTCAACAATAATACTGATAGCACTACATGTCCGGTGCCTTCAAATCAAAAACCAATCATTAGTTCGACGCCTCCTTTAATGCGAATCAAAGAGGAGTTAAGTTATCCAAAATCGCCGACACAACCAATGGGTGCCATCGAAGCGACGCCAGCCATCAACGATCGTATGTTTCCTTTCATTGGCTCACAATCTTTGGGTCCCATTTCCAACCGAATATCCAATTCTCCGACTTCTCAACACTCGTTACCCGAACTCTCATCCAATGAAATGAATAAAGAAGTGCATCAATCGAGTGATGCATTCACTCCCAAACCAATGAAAGATAGCGGTCGTCGCTCTCCATCATCGAAGCCATCGTTCTCACCAATGGTCAGCTCTGCGCTGGAATTGCCTAATATTGCAATCCCTGTCACGTCTCATGGAATGTCTTCCATATCCAATTCCGAATCATTATTTCAATCATATATGACTCCCACTGAGCAAAGACTACCGGCAGTGACCGCATCACAACAACACCATCACAACAATCACTTCATTGGTATTCAAAGTCAACATAATTTGTCTTCACCCACACTATCACCACATCTATTACCGCCTTCGATGTCTCCAATGGCTGGCATCCCAGCGATGTCTCCATACTTCCCAACCTCGTGGTCACCGTATTCTGCGCGTTGTCTACCGTCTCATCCGTTAGGCTTTCCTGGCTCTCCATTCGCCCCTCAAATGATGGGCTCTTCTGGACAAATGCCAGCTCAACAAAGCCGTGATATTCCGGTCTCCAAATCAAAATCTCCCATCACTTCCCAGTCCAGTCGCATATCGCACTCTCCCTCACAATACGTCTCTTCAAATATGTCTAAACACGACAATAAGTATGACATGAATCCAATGCATAACCGCGATATGGATCGACACGATAGACATGATAGACATCGCGATCGTGATCATCACGAAGAGGAGGAGTTAGAGCCCATCCCTACTCTATCTCGAGGTCCGAGTCCTGAGCCCAAGATTGAGGACAGCGAATGTCATCGAAGCCAATCTGCAATGTATGTCATCAATGATTGATTTTTTACTGCTTTTACTTTACATTCATTTAATTTCTTTAATAGATTTTTGCGACATTGGAATCGAGGCGACTATAATTCGTGCGCTCGGACTGACCTGACTTTCAAACCCGTTCCCGACTCACAGTTGGCCCGAAAACGGGAAGAAAGAGCCAGAAAGGCAGCTGAAAAAGAACGAGAAGAGCAAAAGGTATGCATTTTATAATTTATAAATTTATTTAATAGTAATTATTTTATATTAATTTTTACTTTAAAATCAACAGAAAATAGCGGCTGAAAAAGCCTTGTCTTTAGAGCTAAAGTCGGGTCTAATGAATCACCAGAACCTCGAGAGCACTCATTTGAGTCCAATCGGAAGACATACTCCCCGTAATTATACGGACACTCCAGCGCTAAGGCAATTGAGTGAATACGCCAGACCTCACGCCGCCTTTTCTCCTGTATTTTCTCATCCGAGTCTTCACGGAATGGGTGGCGCGTCGGGTAATGTGCCGCTAGGGATGCATCAAAACGCCGCTGGAATGGACCAGTTATTGCAATTTCAAATTGCGTCCGGACTTTATGGCAACGCTAGAGATCGTATGGTTGAGGCCGAGGAACGAGAGAAACGGGAAAGACTTCATCTCATTGAGAAACAGCGAGAGTTCAAAGAAATGGAAATGAAATCGCGTATTGCATCTCAAGGCTCGGCCACACCTATCCCTTCCGGCAATCTATTAGACCCGCATTGGTTGGAACTGCAGCGCCGGTACGCCTCCCAACTCCACTCGGCCTCCAATGCGGCCAATTCTGGCGGCAATGGATCCCCGTTTGTTTTCTATTCTCCCGGAGAAAGACCTTCGAACGAACAAATGCATGGCTTATCAGCGAGTGATCGCATGCACGTCGATAGGCTGGCGATGGCCAACGCCGACCCTCTATATAGGCTACAAATGGCCGGACTTAGCCAAGAGTTGCACTCTCACGCCCACAATCACGCGCACGCCCACCAACACACCCACCTTCACGTACATCCCGGCCACGACGCCGTTCAGGCGGCTGCCGCTGCGGCCGCCGCAGCCATTGGCCATCCCTCGTCCCAATTTGATCCACAAATTCACTCCAATCATCCATTGTTGCCCTCAAACTCGTATCCAACCCGTCCGCCAAGTATTATGAATCGCAATGAAATGCAATCGTCAGCTCTGTTTCGGCCCTCGTTTGACGAACAGTTGGCTCATCAGGTATTCACTGAATGAATGCATATATAAATTATTTACTAATGAATTGATTTAAATGCCGTTTTGTATGAATAGTTCTCAGCACAGGCTCTACATCACGAACAACTTCAGAGACAGCTATTCATAGAGAGGGAGCGTATGGTTGCCGCGCATTTGAGTGCAGCGGCCGGGTCTCAGATGTCGGGCCATCCGCACCCCTCACAACTGCTCGCACAACACGAGGCAGACTTCTTACGGTAATCATTGAATTATTGCATCATTTTTACTATAATTACTGACACATAGACTATGATTATTGTTTGCAGTCAACAACAACGCGAACGTGAGCTTAAACTGCGTTCACTGGAAGAGGCGGCCAGAGGTGGTCGACCCCCTCTCAGCTAAATATCCAATCTCTTTGCAACTTTGCTTCACTTTTTAATTTTATTTAATTTAATAACAATTAGAATTTATAAAATTTGTAAATAACTTTTATAATATATTATGAATACTGAATGCATTTTTCTATAAATAATGAATTTTAGAGAATTAACTAATAATAAAATTGTATAAAACTCTAAAGAATATGCATTTCGAAAATGAATTTTACAAATAATTTTAAAATTTAATCAATTCTTTTGATTCTTAACACAAATTAAGTAAATATTGTAAATTAATGACAAAGTGTTGCTTTAAAACCATAATAATGTATTCAAATTGATGTAAATTTAGTTTTTTATCATTTTATTGCCCAAAAGTAATCCAATTCACGGCTTATCGTCATTTGGTTCGACAGTATTTCTTATACAATGTGTATAATTATTGCAAACAAACAAATTCAAAATAATTGACTCTTATTTTAAACAATAAAACTATTCTCTATTCAAACGAAACATTTTAATGCAATTATTTTAACACAAATTATTGATTTTTAATTATTTATTTAATAAATCGGTATAAATATTATCGAATAAATAAATGAAATTGTTAATAATGGCTATAATTGAACTATATATGCAATTGTTACACGTTTCACATTATATTTAAAATGGTAAGACTTATATTGACTTAATATGACAATTCAACTATAATTGCAGTGCCATTGTGTGCGGCGTTTTACGATCATAATAATGACAGTATAAGCAGACAAAGAATCTTAAATGTCCAGAAAATGAGCAGTTCTGCAAAAACTGGGCATTTATTAGAAATATGTTTTATAGTGAAAGTATGTTTTATAAGCAGATCATTGGTATGAAAGGTATTGAAAATAATTGTGAAAAATATGGATTCTTAAGTACCTGTAGCAGTTCTGCAAAAACTGGGCATTTATTAGAAATATGTTTTATAGTGAAAGTATGTTTTATAAGCAGATCATTGGTATGAAAGGTATTGAAAATAATTGTGAAAAATATGGATTCTTAAGTACCTGTAATTGAAATAATGTTTAAAAGGAAATTTATATATCACGGCATATATTAATTCTCATGGTCATTTAAAGTACAGTAGACTTGGGAATCACTTTTATAATATATACAGTATATTCAGCATTACTCCAAGTTATTTGAGGTAAGTTAATTCCCCCATATATTATATAATTTAAAATTTTAATGCAACTGTTTATCAATACATGCAGTGCATCATACAGTAGTTCTACATTCAACTATAATATAGTTACTATATGATAATAAATGTCACATCATTTAATTTACTAATAAATATTTTTAAAGTTTTTACATTTTTATCCAGTTTTATAATAAAGTTTAATAATTAAACTGTTGGAACATTGTTATTTATAATTTTTAAAAAAAATATTGATAGAAATGATACGTTATCAATATACCGGTATTAATTTGTATGAATTCATTTTATTACATTATATTTTTTTTTTAAATTTTGTTTGGTTCTGTAAATCAAATGTAAAATAAAACTTTATCAAAAATTTAACAGTTTATATAAAATGGTGTAAAGAATATTAGAGCTAATATATTCTACATGTTATGCAAATTATAGTGAGTTTAAAGTATAAAGATTTATAGAGTAGTGACGGAAACTGTAATAATTTTTATAAACAGAATTAGCCATTAATTACAGTAATATTACGATATGAAAGCCCACTCTTCTTCCACTCTCTGTTCAGTTACTTTGTATCATAAAAATGTTGGAATGATTTTTATACAAACTATTTGATAATAATTACGATAAAAGGATAAAAGAGGATAAAAATGTTTTAATTGACTATATTTTTAGAAAACATAAGATTAGTGTTCACTAAACATCTAACATTCAAAACCTAAAAATTAGTGAAGTCATTCATTTTATATTTAGATTCTGCAACAATATAATAATGTTTCCTTGTTCTAAGCTAAGCAACATGCTCATTTATTGTCTAAAATATCGAAAGTAAAATTTAAAATATTAATTATTTAAATTATATAATATTAGAATTTGGTCTGTTTTTAGTAATTATTGTCAATTTAATAAGAGATTTACAAATTTTAAACTCTAAAACTGAAACTGGTGAAACAAATATTAAATACTTGAACATTGAATACTGTAAAATATCTAAAATATGTAAAATAACAAACTATTTTATTTCGTGTTATTAAATTTTTAGTTTAAAATTAAAATTTAAATACTGGTTGATTAAAATCAGTTTATCTTAATAATAACATCGAAAATATTGAAAAAATATTTTTTATTATCTGAAATACTGTATTTATAGCAAAAATGATTTATTAAATAAGAAATGTTATTTATAATTGCATTACTTTATGATTGGTGTGAAAATATGATTGCTTTTTAATTATTTTAGAGAATAATGTGTTGAAGAATATAGGGTTTGAAAAGAATAGCTGTTAGTATTAGTGATAGGAATTGTATGGAGTATTTGTAAAGCTATTTATTACTTGTGTTCTGAGTGTTCATCACTTCATTATACACTGAAAATACAATTTTATTCCACTTAATACTCATGTAATAGAAACGAAAGATCAATAAGTCATTACAATAGCTTTGAAGACAAGTTTCCATTTGTTGAATACAGCAAAAGAGATGAGATGAGAGAGAGAGAGAGAGAGAGAGAGAGAGATTTATGTGTTGAATTGTCCTATTCTGTTACATTATAACAAAACTTTTATGTCTAAAGTTTATTAATATTATGTAAATATTATCAAATAGTTTGTATAAAAATCATTCCAACATTTTTATGATACAAAGTAACTGAACAGAGAGAGAGAGAGAGAGAGAGAGCAACTGTCGTGAGCGCAGTGGCAATCCATCCCTATCTACTAAACGCTAACACACTGTTAACAAAACCAAATGACAAATTATCCCATAATATCCGATAAAATTATTATATAATTTCTATTCTAATATTCATTTAGTCTTCAAATCCATATTTTGTGATAACTCACGTTTTACATCAAACCATAATATCTAGCAATCAATGCATTCGTTGGTCACTAAAATAGATGACAATTTAAGCAAACTATTGCATAACTTATTTCTCACAACTTATTCATTGTAAGTATAAATTATTTCTTTTGTCGTTTTTCCATTTCTTCTATAAATCTTCGATACGATTATCAAATATAAGACAAACATTTCGTTATTATTGAAAACAAGTCATTAAATAAAATCAATTAGAGTTTATCTGAAAAGAGTAATTTAGAAATTTTAATAGAAAACATCGTTAAGGAGAGAATCTTAAAGATAAAAATGGTTCTCTTTATGAAAGAGCCAACACATCATGTTATAGCGTAAGAGCGCCGATATATCACATATCATATATCAAATAAACAATCTTCGAGTCAATAAAGGTATATATAGTATGATATCATAATTTTTGAGTAAATATTATTTTCCAATTCGTTTAAATTATAAAGCATTTGACAAATTGCAAAAGAAATCCAATGTAATAACTTCTGCCCTCAAACTAAACGTTTGTTTCCTCCGATAACTTATATTTAAATTCAAATGAATGTATTATATGTTACGTACATTCATATACTTGATGTGCAAATGAATGATTATTTATTTTAATTATAATAAAACAGTATATTTTTATGTTTGCAGCTTTTAATGAAGCGATGAGAGCACAGAAGATGTGCACTCAAAAGCAATTTATTCAGATCTGACTTTGTGTTGGTTTGAAAAAATGAAATTATTATATAAATTATTATATAAATTATTATATCGATCACTTGTTGATAAGCAAAAGTAAATGTATAAATAAATTTCGCTTTCAGACACTAATATTGTGGCAAAATATTGGATAAACCAATGAATATGTTTACACCACTCGTCTCCTGTGTCCTCTCATCTCTTCAGACAGCGATATATTAAATAATAAAACAGTATATTTTTATGTTTGCAGCTTTTAATGAAGCGATGAGAGCACAGAAGATGTGCACTCAAAAGCAATTTATTCAGATCTGACTTTGTGTTGGTTTGAAAAAATGAAATTATTATATCGATCACTTGTTGATAAGCAATAGTAAATGTATAAATAAATTTCGCTTTCAGACACTAATATTGTGGCAAAATATTGGATAAACCAATGAATATGTTTACACCACTCGTCTCCTGTGTCCTCTCATCTCTTCAGACAGCGATATATTAAAAAGGATTCGCGAATTATATTTAACTCGTTTACTGAATAATGTTTGGCGTATTCATAAGCTTTGTCTCGTAAACAAAGCGACAAAACATCTTTTCAAGAAATGAATTTTTCAGATAAAACATCCAATTTATGGAATGATTTCGATGTAAGTCTATTTTCACAGAATATTCTATTGATTTAAGCATTTATTATATTCACATTTGTTTGTATTTCAAAACATACAAAACACACGCTTTTCTATCAAATGTTTTTATGTATGATTTTTTAATGCAATTTTGGGATTCATATTACTGTACAGTACAGTAAAGTATATATTGATCATTATATGAGCTATAGAGCTATTTTTGAGATTAATTTAAATTAATTTAAATCAATATAAGACGTGTTATTTAGGTCCGTGAGGTTAAGCCAACAGAATAATTGAATCTCTATTCAAACGATTTTTTCAGTCAAATACCTACAAAATTTAATCAATATTTTCAAAGATTTCAGACTTGATTTTAATTAAATGAATAGTCAATGAATTAGATCTTAATGTAAATGAAATATAATATTAGGATTATATGTTGTCCTTAAAGAGAAATCAGAGGAAAGCACAAAAATTCTTGAATAATTGATATAAATATCGTAATATTCTTAAGTAACTTTCAGAATATAATAAGAAATATAAGCATTAATACAAACATTATCAATAATACAATATTTTGTTGGTATTATATATATGTTTAGTAAATATTCTGTTCAAATTTGATGAACAGATTAATCTAAAATCCAATTAATTTTAAATGAATTGTGAAATTATTTCATATTTTGATCAAAAGATGATTTTTTTTTGTAAAAACATTTCCTTTAGACTAATAGGAATTGGTATGAAGTAAGCAATCAATTGGATTGGATTTGGTATTTGCATTGCTATGCTTTCGCATCGCTTTACTTCGCTCTCTCGTCTATAACACTAATATCAGTGCTAAGACTGCGAACATCTTTTGCAACAAATCCGCACTTTTTATTTCAAAACATTTTTCTCCTTATATTTGGAGTGACGAGAGCTCTATATCTATATATAGATCCGTACGGATCGAAGAATGTAAGCAATTGTTTGAGACAAATGTTTGCCTTTTTATATTTATTTAAGAAATGATAACTGATTTTCTTTATTCAAACAGTTGTTCCCAATATTGTTGAGTAGAATCATATGGGATATTGGCTTTCCATGTATTTGCTCTGTTTTAGCTCTATTACAATTAGGTTTGTCTATCAATTTCACTCGCTTTTCACATATTATTTCATCGTTTTATTCATCATTTTTATTGAAATCATTTTCAGGTTTTATTCATCAAATGAATGAAATAAAACTCAATTCTTCTCTTATTTCGAGCGAATCCTGTGTTTTCATTACAATAACAATGCATTTCTGTTTTATAATTATCTCGGATTTACTTATTGTTCTTCAAAATTCACTAAAAGTGAGTTCTCATCAAATCATTGCATATAAAAACCTAGGATTTTATGATAATATGATTCTCAATATTAATATAACACAAAAACATTGTTTTTCTTATTTTTAGTTGATTTACATATCGATTAATATTATATTTTCGATTTGGATTGTCTTTATTTGTACGGCATTTATGATGAAATCTTTACAATTACTCAAAACGTTATCAAATTTAAAATCTACTGATTTGTCTAAAAACAAATCAAACACTAATGTAAAAACAAATAAATGTAATCTTCAAATGAAAACACTGAATACGAATCACACAAAACATGAGATGAAATCTGAAAACAATTTGTCGAAAGATGTTTTGACGGACGAAAACGCAGCCAAACCTAAGATTAAGATAACCGATGAAAATGAGCTGACAGTGAGCTTTGCCAGCGATAACACACCCTCTCAATGCAATGTCACTGATTCTGGCCGTAAGTCCTCGTTATTTCTTATAATACCTCATATTTTTATACCAATAATTTTATATTTATTTTTCATTTCAATTCTGTTAATACTTTTATTTATTATCTTATTTCAAATGAAAGCTCAAAAGTCAGAGGAAGCTATTCTAATGCATATCGTATAGAGTAGTGTTGAGCTAAAAGAAATTTTTAACAAATTACTTGAGAAATTTTTAATTTTGAAAAATTAAGTTAATATAACGTAAATAAAAACAATTATTCTTAATTAAAAATATTATTTTAACTATTAATAAATGCAATGAAATATTAAATCACATTGTACAAAATTGGAACATTTGTAATTTTGTAAAGTCTCACAAAAAATGTCAAGAAATTTATTAGGAATTTGCGGTATTTTTGGAAAAATCTCGATATAGTGTTCGTATTGTTTTTTACTATAATATTTAATTAACTGCCTTTTATTAAAAATGTAGCAAAGTATTAATGATAATAATAATAACACTAATACTGCATTAAATTTTAAAGGTTAAACATATTTATTTTAGTGCACTGATTAAAACAAAATTTTATATACGAAACAGTATTAATATAACAATTGAAAATATTTTCAAATATAAATTTGATAAATCAAATAAATAAAGTAACAAATTGAATGATGTTATTGAAGAATCTAAAAAATATACCCTAATTATCAAACACAGTACAAGTATGTATTTTAAGCCCGAGAATAAATAGCTGTTAAGTTTATTAATAATAAATGATTGATTGCGATAATGATGTGAACCAAAAGAGATGTTTTGTATTTATTTTATGAGAATTTGATTAAATTTTATCTAAATATCTTTGTTTCAAAATACAATCAGTAATAATTAATGGTAACAATTGTTATTATAAAAACAAAATATTAATTATTTTTAGTTTATCTAATTTTGAATATAGCTAAAATATAAAAAGAAAATCATGAATGGATTTGTTTATGCAACCTTAAGTTGTAATTAGTATTTTATTGATTGATTATATTATAATTTTAGTATACAAACAGATTTTACTAAATATTCTGTATGTAAATACCATTTTGTAATTCAATATTAAGTATTACACAGAATTCCATAAATATAGATTATTTATATAATTTATTTAAAAATAATTACCATAACAATATAATTTATTCAAATAAGTTTGAATATAATTTATATTTATAAACTATATAAATTATATTCTAACAGTTAACAGACCTTATTTACAAAACCTTATTATGTAAACCTTTATATAAAACTAATGCATATAAAATAATAAATCAATTAATATTTTCAATGTATATATAAAAGTTTTGCATAGTATTACTAATACTAATATTACTAATATTAATACTGTATTAGCCAATTATTAAATGTAATTTATTCAGTAAATTATGCGATAAACAACATTGACTCTTATATTAATACTAGTTTACAAGAAAACATTTGCAAACATAATATTCTAATACTAATAATATTGTTTCCTTTATGGCAGTAATTTATTGTTTAATGTGTTTAATACTGTATGAGAATAAATGATTAATTAATTTGAATACTCCATATGGCGTGCAATTATAGATAGCTCTAAGAGTGGTTCACTAAAGAGGAATGAATCCAACTCTATATACAGACAATCGCCGAAATTTAATCACAAGAGAAATAAATACAGCAATAAAATGACGCGAAAGAACTCAAATCACTCGATATCTCACACGGAATCGGGTCTTAAGAATATCACAGAAACAATTGATTTGCGCGAAGAAACCGACGACAAGAGGTCTTTATGACAATATTTCAAACAGATTGAGTGTTAAACTAATGTATTGGTGTTATATCCTTATGGAAACAGTTGTTCACTTCAGTATCAAATTGATATTTGCGGACAGAATCAGAAGATTTCCAATTGTCATGTATTTGAAAATCTGGTCAAACGTATAATCCATTTGATGGCTTACGGCCTCTTCGCCACTCTTCTGCAAGTAATCGGAGTGATTGGTGCGGAAGGATTGCCTGCACCACAACATTATCACATCGTTTTGTGGTTTTCGTATCATTCTATCTATAGGTATGTTTCCATTTCCACTCCAAATCTAATCATAATATTTGTATTTTCAAAAATAAATTATTAATAAAAATAATTTATAACTTTAAAAATCCAAAAATGACTTCACATTAATATAAATATTATTTTTAAATTAAAATAAGCGGAGATAACAGTAAACAGTAGTCAATTAACATGGTTCAAAAGACACCCTCTATAATAATGCATAACCTAATTATAAGAATATTTTGTGTTAAAATACCAAAATGTAAAATATTTAACAAAAATAACTATTTAATGTGATTTTGAAAGTTAGCTCTAAACTAAAAGCATAATTTCTTTAATCTTATTCTATGGACTATATTATATGAATGTCTATAAGATTGTACGACTAAACCCTTCTTCTTAATTCCATCGCAAGAATCGCTAAAATTGGGAAATTTAAAAAACAATACAGTATTGTAATATTACTGAAATATTGATAGCAACAATATAATTAACGAGGGTATTATTAATATTTATAAATGGCAACAAATCTGCCAAAAATATTCCCAAATCTATGATCACATTTAATTTAGAGTTCATTTTCTTCTTAAGAATTATCACTAATGAAAAAATACCTTTATTTCATTATATAATTGCATTTATTAATTAAATTATTATATTGTACTTAAACTTTGTAAAATAACAGTAAAGCATGAGTTCTCGCAACTTCAATACAATCTAACTGTAATGTTACGCTAGTCTAAAGTTTATGAATAAAATGTACAGTAATGTTGCCCTTTGACAACATTTTCTATACACTTTGAATAGTATTATTAAAACATGTTGACAAATGTTTTAGTAGTTGTTCTCACGACACTGTCAGTTGGAATGCCTAAAAAGCAAAAATCTTACAAGCTTACTTGTTAGCTTTAGCTTCAAAACATTGAAATACATTATTCAACATAGAAGTGAAATGTTGGTATCAATAATTGACCAATTCCTTATATTTTATACTACAGAATATTGCAATAACCGTATGTACTATATTGTACTATATGTACAGTATACTATATAGCATATAAAGTATATAGCACATATTATATAATGTGTATAGCATATTAACAGCAAAACATATTAAAATATTTATTTGTTTACAGAATTACCGAATTATTATTGGTATTCACGACAATCAGCATAACATCGAAATCTTTTCATAACTATATCTATGAGTTGAGACCGAATTTTAAACAACGATCACTTCGTGTCAATTAATTTGATGTTCACTTTCATAAGTATATCGTATTAATTATAACATTTATATTCTGTTAACGAGTTAATTGCATAAACATGTGTACAAACCTGCTGTTCATCATATTAAACAATGTCCTTATTATTTACAGTTAAGTTTACACAATTCATGAATGTTACTTGAATTGTGTACTTCAATTTTTCCCAACAAGTATTTATATAATTTATATTAAAAACAAATTCTTCCATCAAATCTTAATTATATTTAATAATGTATTTTCACATACAATCAAATAAATCAAGTTTTATGAATATATTTAATTATTGTGGTATAATTTAATTAATACCTATAATAACATGTTTACAGTTTAAATAGTTTAACGATTATTTGATATATCAGTCAATAAGTATTATATGTTAAATGGATACAAAAGACACACCATTTAATTCAGTCAATCAAATATAATAATTATTAAAATATTTATTAATAAATATAAAATACTTTTATAATAATGAGCGGACGGTATGAGTAGATTAGTGGACATCATGTCTAAAATATAATACAATTTATTAAGCGTTTAAATGAACAAAACGTTACTAAATATTAATTAAAATAACTTTAAGTTAAGATTATAAGCAGTGTTTAAGCCGTTTGTTAGTTATGAGTGTCTGTTGTGGTGACGATCTCTTGGCATCGGATGACTTGTTTTGGTTCAAACCATTCAACAGTTGTCTCATTTCAATCATCTTCTCATCAAATTTGGACCACAAATCAGAGTCTAAACTAATTGTGTTTCTCTTCCGCGAGTTTCTGGTCATTGTTTGCGTTAACTTTTGATAATCGGTGTCCAGTGTTGACCACTTCCTCCACAGGACGGCCACATCAATGACAGCACTTTCGGTGAGCTGTGAGTCCGAGTCCTGCTGTAAGACATCCGCCAATTTCTGTTTCATTGAGTTCTGGAGAACTGTCGCCACACTCTGTGGAGGACAGACCACATCCGCCGCCTCTGTCTTCATACACGCCATCCCATTGTCCGCATCGGTCGTCACGTTTGACCGCCGATTGGATCCCATATTCAATCGTATCCTTTGAATGACAGCCGAATTCAATGGCAATATTCCTCCACTTCTTTCGTTCACTTGACGACCAATTAAACGGTTATTAAGTTTGCGTTTAATTTCCATCAACTGATCGTTAGTTTCCTCTCCAGAGCTCATCTCAAGTCAAGTCTTCAAACAATTCATTCAAAGTTTTGTCCAAATCTTCATTTCATTTCACTTTTCAATCAAAACAAACTTTTCTTTCAATTATTATTACAACTATTCATATAAGACGTGCGCTTATTATCACATATTATATATATCGTTGCGTTTGTCGTGTATTTCACTCTATTTTAGTTATAAGTAAATTAAATATTTAATTAAATTACTTTATGTTATAAAATATTAGTCAAATAACAGATCAAATATATAATAATTTATAAATTATATTAATTAGCAGCGATACCAAAGGGCGACTAAATTGACAAATAGTAACATTGTTTGTGATATTTCAGTAGTGGCTCCACATATGGTTGATAAGTGTTTAAATGGCTGTTAATATTATATGAATAAAATACCTGTACAGAGGGTGTGCAACAAATGCACCTTAAATATAAACAGCTATTAGTGGCCAGTTTAAGACATGTGCATTTAGTACCGCAAAAATAAGTTATTTTTAACAACTTCGGGACTTTTCACACATATTCCTTACATAATATACACCGGGGTAGTAGTGTTAACAGCTGGTACATTGGGGGCAGTGTTGGTGTGGACAGTTGGCAACTCTACCTGAATTGCACTGTAGTGTATGTAAAAAAGTACAGTACAGTACAGTCTGTCTGTCTGTATGTATTGATAATGTATTACAGAATAGAGTGAATGAATTGAATGATTGAATTGAATATATTTTCAGTGATTTGTTTGAAATGATTGTGTAATACATGTTATAAACGAGTGATT